GGCTCTGCTCGGCTGAGCTCGGGAAGGATCGGGGAGGTTCGGCCCGGCCCGGTTCGGCCTGGCTTGGTTCGGCGCGGCCCGCTCATCTTCCTTCGGCCTCGCTCGGCTCGGTTCGGCTTCTCTCGGCTCGGTTCGGCCCCGCTGGGATTCCCTCGGTTCGGCTCCGCTTGACTGTTCGGTTCGGTTCGTCTGGGCCCGACCCTGCCCGGTCGCCGCCGCACCGGGCCCGGTAACGCTGCGACCCCATCCCGGCCCAGGCCCGAGCCCAGCCCCGGGAACGCCCCGGGAGGAAGGCGGGGGGAGGCAGCGAGCATCCTCCGCCGCTCCGTCCGCAGCACGGCCGGGACCGGGGCGGGGGGGACGTGGCCGGGGGGAGCAGCAGGAGCCCCGGGCCAGACGTGCCCCGGCTGGGCCGTGACGGTGGGGACATGTCGTGACAGTGGAGACAGAGCCACCCCGCACCTGGGTCACTACCCAGGGACACCCTGTGACACCAGGAGCGAACCCCCCGAGCCGTGACACTGGGGGAGCACCGGGGCACAAAGCCACTCCATGTCGTGACACCGAGGCAGCGCAGCTACCCCAGGCAGTGACACTGGGTGCGCGCCACGGCACTCGATGACAGCGCTGTGACACCGCGCACCATGGCACCAGGTGAGCAGCCAGACTGGCACGTGCTGTGACACTGGGGGGACCCCACGCCTGGCAGGTGCTGTGACACTGGGTGACCAAACCACGCTGTGCCGTGACTCGTCGATGAGCCTTGAGCCTGGCACATGCTGTGACACTGGTGGATCAAAGCCAGCCTGCACTGTGACAAGTGATCAACCAGCCTGCCGCCGGGTGACCAAAGCCACCTTGGACTGTGATACCAAGTGACCAAGCCTCTGCCATGACACCTGGTGAACCCTCAGCTCGGCGCCTGCTGTGACTGCAGTGACACCGGGTGACCAAGCCGCTCCACGTCGTGACACCATGTGACTGAAGCCCCCCCACGCTCCACGCTGCGTTGTCCCCGTCATGCCACCATCCGGCCAGCGCGTGGCCATGCGTGTCCCCGTGCTGTCCCTGCTGCTGGCGCTGCCCCTGCTGTCCCCGTGGGGCTCAGCGGCCGCGAGCTGCCCCCCGCGCTGCGTCTGCGCCTCCAACCTGCTGAGCTGCTCTCAGGCCAACCTGAGCGCGGTGCCGGCGCCGCTGCCGCGCTTCGCGGCCGTGCTGGACCTGAGCCACAACAACGTGACGCGGCTGCGCGCGGACTGGGCCCCGGCGCGGCTGCCGCACCTGCACGCGCTGCTGCTGAGCCACAACGGGCTGGCCTTCGTGTCCACCGAGGCCTTCGCCCACGTGCCGCGCCTGCGCCACCTCGACCTGTCCTCCAACCGCCTGCGGACGCTGGACGAGAACCTGTTCAGCGACCTGGGCGAGCTGGAGGTGCTGCTGCTCTACAACAACGAGATCGCCACGGTGGATCGCACGGCCTTCGAGAACCTGGGCCGGCTGCGCAAGCTCTACCTGGGGCAGAACCGCATCGCCCGCTTCCCGCTGGAGCTGCTGCGGGAGGGCACCCGGCTGCCGCAGCTGGCGCTGCTGGACCTGTCGGCCAACCGGCTGCGGGCCGTGCCCGCGGGCGAGCTGCAGGCGCTGCCCGCCTGGCTGCGCGACCGCCTCTACCTGCACAACAACCCCCTGAGCTGCGACTGCCTGCTCTTCCAGCTGCTGGACCGCGGCCGCCGCCGCCACCTCAGCGCCGTGGAGGATTTCCAGGATGAGCTGCGCTGCCACCCGCCCGGCAGCACCGCTCCCGTCAAGATCCTGGAGCTGGCGGGCAAGCCGCCTCTCAACTGCAGCAAGGCGCGGGAGGCCGTGCTGGAGGCGCACCTCGGGGACAGCGTGACGCTGGGCTGTGACAGCCGCTGGCAGGGCGTGCGCAGCCGGCACTGGGTGACCCCGGGCGGGGAGCGGGTGCTGGGGGACGGGGGCAACGGCAGCGTGGTCCTGCTGGCCAACGGCAGCCTCCAGCTGCGGGCGCTGCGCCCCGAGGATGCCGGCACCTACTCCTGCTGGGTGGCCGGGCCCCTCCTCAACGAGACCCTCTACGTGGAGCTGCTGGTGCACAACTTCACCCTGCACGGCCCCCACGACACCCTGAACACGGCCTACACCACTCTGGTGGGCTGCATCCTGAGCGTGGTGCTGGTGCTCATCTACCTGTACCTCACGCCGTGCCGCTGCTGCTGCTGCCGCGGCACCGAGAAGCCGCCGGCGCCGCGCGACGACAGCATCAACTCCTCGGTGCTGAGCACCACCCCGAACCACGCCGGCGGCACCGGGGAGCCCTGCGGGTCCCACGTGGCCTCCGGCGCTGGCACGGGGCAGAACGGCCGGTTCAAGGGCGGGGGGACCCCCCCGCTGCCCGCCCGGCAGGGCCCCAAGGCGCAGAGGAAGGTGTCGGATCCAGACTCGGTGAGTTCCGTCTTCTCCGACACGCCCATCGTGGTGTGAGGGGACGCTCTGGGGACAGTCCCCAGGGACACCCCGCGTCAGCCACTGCAAGCTGTCCCTGGGCAGGAGGGGTGGCCAGACGCCCACTGCCGTGTCCCCAGCTTGGGGGGTCACACCATCACACCCCAGGACTGAGCATTGCTGCTGGCCCCGCCAAGGTCACCAACACCATGGGACAGTGAGGGACAAAGATGTGACACACACTTTGGGGACAGTCTCCCACCACAGTGACTTGTCCCTGGGCAGGAGAGTTGGCCGGACTCCCACCACCATGGCTCCAGCTTTTGGGGGTCCCATCATCACCCCAGGACTGAGCATTGTCCCACACCCCCGCTGAGGTCACAAAGGGACCGTGAGGGACACAGGGTGTGAGGAGATACACCGTGGGGACAGTCCACTGGGGCTCCCTGTGTTCCTACTGCTGCTGTCCCCTGTTCCCCATGGACGTGCCACAGGCAGAAGGGGTGGCTGGACCCCTACTGCCATGTCCCCAGATTGGGGACCAACACCATTGCCCCCCGGGACGGAGCATCACTGCTGGCCCCCACCCAGGTCACTGCTCAGCCACAAGGGACAAGGGTGTGACACCACGGGGCAGTCCCCCACTGTCACCTGTCACCAGGCAGGAGGGGTGACCAGACCCCCACCACCACGTCCCAGCTTTTGGGGGTCCCACCATCACCCCCCAGGACTGAACGTCATCCCTGGCCCCTGCCGAGATCACTGAGGGACTGCGAGGGACAAGGGTGTGAGGGGACACGCCGTGGGAAGTCCCCAGGGACATCCCGTGTCCCCACTGCCACTGCGGGCTGTCCCCAGGCTGGAGGGGTGGCTGGATCCCCGTCACTGTGTCACCACCTTTGGGGATCCCACTGTCACCCCCCAGGACTGAGCATCATCCCTGGCCCCTGCCAAGGTCACCTGCAGTGGACAAGGGTGTGAGGGGACACGCCGTGGGGACAATCTCCTGCTGTGACCTGCCTCTGGGCAGGAGGGATGGTCAGACTCCCACCACCGTGTCCCTCGTTTCTGGGGGTCCCACCATTGCCCCTCAGGACTGAGCATGGCTGCTGGCCGTGCGAGCTCACCGCAGGACCCCAGGGACACGTCTCTGTGAGGACAGCGTGGCCACCAGCTGCAGGGCATCAGCCCCACCAGGCACTGGAGGACTGAGGGACAGTGACAGTGGCAGCTGTGAGCCCCCAGGAGCGGCAGCACCGGGCAGAACCCCCCTCCTGCAGCCCCGGGCCCCCCCATTCCCCCTGCTCCCCTTGGCATGTGCATGGCCAAGCATGAGTCCCCCGGGGAGCATGTGCCACCCCCATGGGGACACCGGGGGTGTGTCAACCCCCTGGGGAACCCCCAACACCTCCTGAGACCCCTGCAACCCACAGCTGCAAGCAGAGCCCCCTCCCCTGCAGGGGGTGGGACCCGGGGGCTCCTGCACCCCAAAAGGGGGTGCCCCCTCCCATGGGTGCCCATGGGTGTCCCCATGCCAGCCCAGCCTGTGTCCCCCGTGCCCCCACCCCGGACATTCCCCCCCTGCACCGGGCAATGCCCACCGATGCCTTGGCCAAAATAAACGCGTTTCCCTCGTGCCCGTGCAGCCTTCACGCCCTTGGGGGGCTCCCGGGGGGGTCCCCTTGCTGCCCTGGGGATGGGCTGGGGACAGTGACAGTGCTGGGGGACTCGCCGGGGTGAGGCTGGGTGGGGGGGCAGGGGGAGGCACCCCGGTGACCCCAGGGTGCCCACCCAGATCCCTCTGCCCCCAACACACTGTGCCGGGAGGGGCTTCTGGGCCCCCCCATGGCCAGCCCCTGCTCACCCCCAGCACCCCAGGGACCCCACTGACACCCCTAGCACCTCAATGACCCTCATGGTCCTCCACCTGTCCCCCCAGCACCCCAAAGACCCCCCATGGTCCCCAGTACCTGCCCTTTAACCCCCCAGCACCCCAATGACCCTCCCAGGACCTCCCCGCTGTAGTGAGGCCACCCCCAAGCAAGTCACTGATCTCCCCAGCCCCTTAATGACCCCACTGCCCCCCAAGTCCCCAAAGGCCCTTTATGGTCCCCTGTAGCCTCCTAGCACCCCACTGAACCCCACTCACCCTTAAGAGCCCCCACCTGCTCCCTGAGCACCCCAAAAACCTCCTGTGGTCCTCAGTATGCCCCCATCCACTCACTGAGCCTCCCCAGCACCCCAGTGACCCCATTTAACCACCACCCAGCACCCCAGAGAACCCCCAGAATCTCAGTGACCCCACTGACCACCTCCCAGCCCCCCAAAGACCCTTATGGGGCCCTGCCCACCCTGCAGCACCCCAAAGACCCCCTATAGTCCCAGGAAGCCCCCCAGCACCCCAATGACCCCCTCAGCCTCCCAGAGACCTTTATGAACCCCAGCCCAGCCCCACAGGCCCCTCAGCACCACGAAGTCCCCCTATGGGACAGGGTGTCCTCCCACAAGACCGGGTATCCCTCACAGGACAGGGTGTCCCCCCATAGACCAGGATGTCCCCTACAGGACAGGATGTCCCCTACAGGATCGGGTGTCCCCTACAGGACCAGTGTGCCCTACAGGATTGGGTGTTCCTCCACAGGACCGGGTGTCCCCCCATAGGACAGGGTGTCCCCTATGGGACAGGGTGTCCTCCCACAAGACCGGGTATCCCTCACAGGACAGGGTGTCCCCCCATAGACCAGGATGTCCCCTACAGGACAGGGCGTCCCCCCAGAGGACAGGGTGTCCCCTACACGAGAGGGTGTCCCCCCACAGGAACAGATCTCGCCTACAGGACCGGGTGTCCCCCACAGACCAGGATGTCCCGGTGCTTTCCCCCTCCAGACCATGGTGACCCCCCAGCACAGGGCACCTCTCAGGGCCCAGTGACCCCAGTCCCACCGTTCCCACTCCCTGCTGGTCCCAGTGACCCTCAGGGGGGTCCCCTTGGGTCACCACCCACCCCGGCCCCAGCCCTACCTTCAGGGCGCTCCTCTTCTCCTCGAAGCCCAGGGGCGTCCCCGGCTTCTTCCTGCGGATGGAGCCCCCCGAGCCGGAGCTGCCGGGGCCGGGGGGGCCGGGGGGCGCGGGCAGGGCGGGCGCTTTGGCCTTCAGGGCTCGGCAGTAGGTGGCCGCGTTCTTGCGCTTCTTCACCTCATCCTCGGAGAGCCCCCGGGGAGGCCCCCCCAGCCCCAGCCCGTGCAGCGGCGGCGTTTGGGGGTCCAGGGCAGCGGGGGGGGCACGGCAGGGCTGGCCGGGGGGCGGCCGGCGCACCCGCGCCGTCCCGTTGAGGATGGCGATGGAGGCCGAAGCCGGCGGGGCGAGTTTCGTCTTGCCGGGGGGAGCCAAGCCCTGATTTTTGCCCTTGGCGCTGTCCCCCAAACAGGTCCGTTTGTAGGGGGGGCTGCCGGCCGTGGCGGGGGGCTGCCAGGGCCGGGGCTCCGTGTCCGTGCCCGCCTCCCGTGCCCGGGGGGATCTGCTGGCCTTGCTGGGGGGCAGTTTGCTGAAGGAGGGCGAGGGGGTGTTGGCGGGCAGGGGGGAGGTGATGGACTGCGTGCCCCCTCCCCCGCACTCGGGCTGGCTGCAGGCGGCCGCCGCCGGGGGCGACCCCACGGTGTAGGTGAGGCTGGTGGGGACCCGGCAGCCCCCCGCCGCCGGGAGGGGCCGCAGGGGCGGGGAGGGGGCTGCAGGGCCGTAAAGGGGGGCAGCGGGGCTGGGGGGGGCTGCGGGGAGGTGAAGAGGGGGGACGACGGCTGGAGGGATCTTCCTGTGGGAAGGGAGGGGGAGGGTGAGATGGGGAACGCCCAAAACCCCTGCTCCCAACCACATCCCCCCAGTTCAGGGGGGAGAGGTGAGATGGGACCTCTGCAAATGCTCATTCCCATCCCTCCAGCCCCACCCTGTCCTCCCCAGTTCCCTCCAGCCCCACCTTATCCTCCCCAGTTCAGGTGTGGAAAGGTGACATGGGAGCCCCCACAAATCTTCACTCCCAGCCCTGCATCCCCACCTTGTCCCCCCGAGTTTGGATGGGAAGGGGTGAAACAGGACATCCCCTCAAATCTCCATGACACCTTAATTCAGGTGAGGAGGGGGTGAACAAAAGGCCCCCCCCAATCTCTGCTCTCAGTCCTGCACCCCTATCCCGTCTTTCCCAATTTGGGTGAGCAGGTGATGAAATGGGACCACTCAAATTCCCACTCCCAACCCCATAATCCTTCCTGATTCAGGCAGGGAGGGGGTCCCAAATCCCCACTCCCATCCCTCCATCCCCACCTCATCCTCATCAGTTTGGATCAGAATGGGGTGAAACGAGACCCCCTCATTTCCCACTCACATCCCTGCACCCCCACCCTACCCCATCACTTTGAATGGAGGGGGGTACAACAAGACCCCCCCAAATCCCCACTCCCTTCCTCCCCCCCAAGTCCCAACACCACGCTGGGACCCCGGGGACCCCAAAGCCCCCCTCACCTCCACCTGTGTGCACTGAGGTGCTGCTCCAGCATGGAGCCCAGCGCGGCGCAGAACCGGTCCAGCCGTCGGTCGAACACGTAACAGCCCGGGGTCACCAGGCGGCTCCCGAAGGTGCAGAACTGGGGGGCACCGTGCCAGGGTCACTGCAGCCCCCCACACCCCCACCCCAACCACCCACCCGGCATGGAGCCGGGAACAGGACACGGGGATGGAGCTGGTGGAGCTGGGGGTCCCTGCCTCATGTTGGGGTCTGACATGGATGGGTCACTGGTGGATTTGGGGGTCCCTGCCTCATGTTGGGGTCTCACATGGATGGGTCACTGGTGGATTTGGGGGTCCCTGCCCCACTCTGGGGTCTCACATGGATGGGTCACTGGTGGATTTGGGGGTCCCTGCCCCGCTCTGGGGTCCCCTCACTCACCGCCTGAGGCCGTGGTGGGCGCGCTGGGGTCCGGGGGGGCTCCTCGCCCCCCTCCTCCTCGCTCTCCTCGCTGGACACGCGGCTGCCCCCCTTGGGCAGGGGGAGGGGGAGGCCTCCCGTGCCCCCCTCCCCAGAGGTGGCAGGAGCATCCTCAGGGTCACTGGCAGAGGAAAGGCGGGCCCTGCACCACAGAAGTTTTGGGGTGCTCGATACTGGGGGGGCACTGTGAGACAATATCCAGCCCCCCAAATCCCCACTCCTAATCTCTACAATGTCACCCTCAATCCAGATGGGGGGAGATGGGACCTCCTCACCCCAAATCCCCGCTTCCATCCACTTCCCCTCCCAGTTCAGGTGCAGAGGGGCTGAGACAGGACCCCGCAATTCTGCACTCACATTCCTGCTGCCCTGCCACACCCGCAGTGCAGGTGGGGAAAGGCGAGATGGGACCAACAAAACCCAGCTCCCAGCCACATCTTCCCCTAATTCAGGTGTGGAGGGGGTGAGACAGGACCCCCCCCCCAAATCCCTGCTCCCATCCACATCCCCCCAAGTTCAGCTGGTGAGACACAAATCCCTGCTCAAACCACATCCCCCCAGTTCAGGTGGGGAGGATATGAGATGGACCCCCCCAAATCCCCACTCCCATTCCTGCCCTTTCAGTGCATCCCCCCCAATTCAGGTGGGGAAAGGTGAGCGGAGACCCCCCCCAAATCCACGGGGTACTCACCTGGGGGGGTGCAAGCAGTGGGACAGCCTGGCTCGGCAGGGAGGGGTACTGAGGGGCTGCAGCAGTGAGGGGGCGTCCTGCAGGGCAGGGTGCAGTGGGTCCTTCTCAGGGGGGCTCCTGTCTTTCGGGGGGTCCCCTCGGCGGGTGCTGGCCTTGAGCTCGGCCACCAGCACGTCAAAGTCCTTGGCCCGGCCCTGCACCTCCCGGCGCTGGTGCACCGAGTGGATCTGGGCGACAGCAGGGAGGGGCTCAGGACCCCCCAGAACATCCCGGCTGGGATATTGGGGTGTCCCCTCCCCGTTTCCCACTACCTTGCAGGTCAGCAGGCGGGTGCAGAGCTTGTTGGTGTCGGGGTTCCGCACCCCACACTGCCGGTTCAGGTCACACTCCTTACCTGGGGGGACATGGAGGCAGAGGGTGCTGGGGAGTGCTGGGGGGGCACCCCAACACCCCCCACCAGGGCTGGGCATGGAGCACCCACTCCTCACAGCAGCTCTGAGGGGGGGACACAGCCCTGAGAAGTTCTGAGGGGGTGGGGAGGGGTCACCATGTGCTGCTCCCTCCTCTTTTTGCTCCTCTGCAGGGTGAGCCCCCCCCCTTTTTTTGCCCCTTCCCTGGGGTGACCCCCCCCCATTTTCAGCTGGGTCCTGCTAATGGCATTGCTATCACCTGGGGGAGTCTGTGGGCACAGCAGCAATTGGCTCTGGTATTTTGGGGGCAGGGGGCACATGCTTGACTCCCATATTTTGGGGAATATGTGTCCAACACTCATCTTTGGAGTGACATTGTCCAAACCCCATGTTTTGGGAGGGGGCACACATCCAAACTCCGTATTTTGGGGTGGCACACACATTTGACACACATATATTGGGGTGATACATGATGGACCCCCGTATTTGGGGGGGACATATGTTATATCCCCATATTTTGGGAGGGACAACATGTTTGCCCCCCATATTTTGGGGGGATATGGGTTCAGCTCCATATTTCAGGGTGACACGTGTCCAACCCCCATGTTTTGGGGTGACACATGCCTAACCCCCATATTTTTTGGGGAGATGTGTTCAACCCCCACATTTTCAGAGGATACTCATTTGACCCCCGTATTTTGGGGGGACACACGTTTCACCCATGTATTTTGGGGGGACCATATGTTTAACCCCCATCTCTTGGGGGACCAGCTATTTAACACCTGTATTTTGGGGTGACACATTTGACCCCCATATTTTGGAGGAATACACATCCAAAACCTGTATTTTTGGGGGGACATATATTCAACCCCTCTACTCTGGAGGACACGTATTCAACCCCCATATTTTGGGAGGAATGCACATTTGACCCCTATGTTTTGGGGGTCACATATCCACTTCTCACATTTTTGTGGGGGACACAATTTTAACCCCCATATTGTGGGGGGGGGGCACATGTTTTACCTCCATATTTTTATGGGGGACACGTTTGACCCCCACTTTTGGAGGAACACGTTGGGATCCATCCTCAACTCCCTCCCTTGCTGTGCCCATTCCTTGGGAGCAGCCAAGGGGGGACCCTAAACCTACAGGCTGACCAGAATTGAGGGGAGGGCAGGGACCCCCCAACGACCCTCCAGAGGAGAGGGGGGAGCCACTCCCCTGGTACCTACCCCACTGCTAGACCCGGCCAGCGGAATTCCGGCCCCAGGGAGTCCCGCTGGGATCATCCGCCCCCCCCCACGGCCAAGGAAAGGGGGGACTCACGCGCCAGCTTCCTGTGGGACCTGGGGGGCGCTTTGGGGGCCCCCACATCCTTGTCCCCCGGAGCAGGGACGCTCTCCGGCATGGCGGAATCCCCCCCGACCCCGGCGGGCACCGGGGGCTCTTTGGGCACCGCGGCAGCCGCGGGTTTCCCCAGGGATTCCTTGGAGTTGGTGGGGACGGCTTTGGGGGGCACCTTGATCCCGTGCCCGTCCGGTTTGGGAATGCTGGGAATCTTCTCCAGGTTCACCACGGGCACAAACAAGCTGTGGAGAGAGGTTTGGGGAGGAGGGGGTGGCATCGAAGCGGCCCCACAAGAGCATCAGCCCCGTGGCCCGTGCCGGCGCTCACCAGAGGTTGTTGTCCTTGTCCGTGTGCTCAGGGAGGGGCTGGGCTCTGCCACGGGCACCAGGGAGCTTCTCCTGCAGGGCTTTGGCTGCCCCGGGCGTCCTGCCAGGCACCGGCTGCCCGTTCACGGCGACGTGGCACGCGGTGGCACGGGCATAGAGCTTGCTGAGGGGGCCATGGCGGCGTTCTGCCAGGAGGGATGGATGGGATGGGATGGGATAGATGGGATGGGATGGGATGGGATAACCCCACTGTTAGCCCGCATCAGAGCTCACACTGCTGTGAGCCCCCTCCCTGCCCGTAGGCTGTGCCCCCACAGCCAGCCCTGGTGGCATTCCCGGTGCTGTTCCCAGCACCACGGGGTGGAATAGCCATTCCCCAAATTCCTTGGCTCACCACAGTGCTTCTGGAAGGCCTGGGGCTTCACCACCTGGCTGCAGTGGTTGCACACCACCAGGTAGAACTCGTCGTGCGCAGGGCAGTGCCCGAAGATGTCCATGTCTGTGGGGAGAGCTCAGTAAGCTGGCACAGAGCTGGCGCTGCTGGAGCTCTGCAGACAAGGATCCCAGCTCACACAGCCCTGAAATGCTGGGTTTCACCCCAGAGAGGAGCTCACCTTCCTTAATCAGGGTCATGGTGTCCAGTTTCTTGCTGCCACTCTTGCCATTCTCCTCCAGCTCTGACCCTGATCCTGCCAGAGACAAAATCCTGTCAGTGGCTGGCACACGGACGGTCCCGGTGCTCCCACAGAGGGGTGCTCCTGGCATTCCTGCTCCTGGAACAATTAAACCAGACAAAATTAGACCAGAGAGACAGATCATCCTGTGAGTGACGTCGCCCTGTGGTGTGTCACCATCTCCAGGGTCCCCATCCTGACAGCCCAGTGCCAGCAGGATGTTCCTGGGGACATCCCAGTATGGGATGTGACACTCCTGGGATGTGACATCCTTGGGACGTATTTGCCCTGGGATGAAACATCCCTGGGGACACCGTGGTGCTGGGATGGGACACCCTTGGGGACAGCCCCATCCTGGATAGGGTGTGACATCCCCGTCCTGGCACACGGCACCCCTGGGAACGTCCTGGTCCCAGGATGTGACACGCCTGGGTCACCCTGGTTCCCATACACTCGTGGCTCCACTGGCTGTGCCTGGGCTCTCTTCTGGGGGCACTGGTGGCCACTGAGCCAGTGGCAGTGGTGACCTGGCCACCTGTGCCAAACTGGGTGCCCAGGCCATGCCCAGTCCTATCAGGCCATGCCATACTGGGCACCCAGTTCCATCCAGCTGTGCCACACTGCATAACCAGTCCTGCCTGCCTGGCTATGCCATACTGGGTGCCCAGTGCCATCCAGATGTGCCACACTGGGCACCCAGCCCCACTGAGATGCACCATGGCTGGTGCCCAGTCTGGGACAGCCAGTCCCAGTGCTGAGAGCCCACTGGGACACTCCAGAGCTCCCAGTAAGGAGCACCTGGCTCCCAGTGTGCCCTGCCCAGTTCCCAGAGCAGGATGTCCCAGTGCCCAGCACGTGATGCCCAGTCCCCCACCAGGGCTCCCAGTACCTCCTGCCTGTCTGGGGTAATGGTGGCAGCAAACTCCCAGTCCAGGCTCTGCAGTTACTGCTCTGCTCCCACCAGTGACCACTGGATTCCACTGGAACCCAGGATGGGGCACCCAATAACGGGCACAGGGCTCCCAGTGGGCAGCCTGGGGTGCCTGTGCCACATCAGTGCCCAGTTCATACTGCAGAGATCCTGCTGCCAGTTCCTGAATCCCAGTGCCCAGAGCAGCTGCCTAGTGCCCGGTTCCAGGTGCCCAGTGTCCTGTGCAAGGTTCCCAGTGTTTGGGCAGCTTCTGTAGGATGCCCCATCCCAGTTCTCAGTGCTGGGTGTCCAGTGCAGGATGCCCTGCTCCCAGTGCCCAGTTCCTGGTACCAGGTGCCATGTCTGGCTCTGCAGTGCCAGGTTCCCAGTCCTGATTCCTGGTGCCAGATGCCACATTCCCAGTGCAGGAAGCGCCCATTCCCAGTTCCCAGTGCTCAGTGCTGGGTGCCCAGTTCTCAGTACTGGGTGCCAGGTGTGGATGCCCAGTGCCAGATTCCAGGTGCCCAGTACAAGGTGCCCCATTCCCAATGTCTGGTTTCCAGCAGAGGACACCCATTCCCAGTGCCAGGATCACAGTGCAGGGTGCCCCATACCCAATGCCAGGATCACAGTGCAGGGTGCCCATTCCCAGTGCAGTGTGCCCATTCTCAGTGTCTGGTTCCCAGTGCAGTGTGCCCATTCCCAGTGTCTGATTCCAGTGCAGGGTGCCCATTCCCAGTGCAGTGTGCCCATTCTCAGTGTCTGGTTCCCAGTGCAGTGTGCCCATTCCCAGTGCCAGTTTCCCAGTGCAGGGTGCCCATTCCCAGTGCAGTGTGCCCATTCCCAGTGCCAGTTCCCAGTGCAGGGTGCCCATTCCCAGTGCCAGTTTCCCAGGTCAGGGTTCCCCATACCCAATGCCAGGATCGCAGTGCAGTGTGCCCATTCCCAGTGTCTGGTTCCCAGTGCAGGGTGCCCATTCCCAGTGCAGGGTGCCCATTCCCAGTGCCAGTTTCCCAGTGCAGTGTGCCTATTCCCAGTGTCTGATTCCCAGTGCAGGGTGCCCAATCCCAGTGCAGTGTGCCCATTCCCAGTGCAGTGTGCCCATTCTCAGTGTCTGGTTCCAGGTGTCCAGTTCCCAGTGCCAGGGAACATCCTAGGACATGCCAGGACAACCTGCACCAGGAATGGGCACTGGGAATCCTGCCCTGGGCATGCAGACCCGGCACCCTCTGCCGTGCGCCCAGCTCCCGGTACCGGATGCCAGGTCTGGATGCCCAGCACAGGGCTCCCAGTGCCCCGTTTCCCAGTGCCCAGTGCAGGATGCCCCGCTCCCGGTGCCCCGCTCCCGGAGCAGAACGAGCCGGTGCAGAACCTGCTCTCGGTTCCCAGCGCCCGGTGCAGGACGCTCCGTTCGCGTTTCCCGGTGCGGGATGCCCCGTTCCCGGCGCCCGGTGCGGGATGCCCTGCTGCCGGTTCCCGGTGCCGGACTCCCCTCTCCCGGCGCCGTTGCCCGCCCGCCGCGCGGCGGCGCTCGGAACGGCTTGGGGATACCCGGCATCCCTGAAACAGCTTGAGGGTACCCGGTGTCCCTGTAAGAGCTTGAGGGTACCCGGTATCCCAATTAGAGTTTGAGGGTACCCCGTATCCCGGTCACAGCCTGGGGGTACCCGGTATCCCGGTAACAGCTTGGGGGTACCCGGTGTCCCGGTAACAGCTTGGGGGTATCCCCTATCCCGGTAACAGCTTGGGGGTACCCGGTGTCCCGGTAACAGCTTGGGGGTACCCGGTATCCCTATATTTGGCTGGGGTTCCCTGTGGTCCCCATACTAGACCCAGAACCCCAATTATTCCTAGAACCCCAGTTATTCCTAGAATGGCCTGGGGTCTCCTGTTGTCCCTGTATGGGGATGGGGGTACCCAGTATCCCTATAACAATTTAGGGGCACTTGCTATCCCTATACGGGGATGGAGGTACCCGGTGTTTCTATAACAGGTTAGGGGTACCCGGTATCCCTATAACAGGTTAGGAGAACTCGGTATCCCTACACTCTGTTGGGGTTCCCTGTTGTCCCCACAGCAGACCCAGAACCCCAGTTATCCCTATAAGGGGCTGGGGTCTGGTATAGTTACTTCTGTACTGGGCTGTCAGCCCAGGGTATTGCCATACGAGGCAGAGGTTCCGGGTTATTCCTGTGCGGGGCTGGGGACCCCCGTTATGCCTATCCCAGCCTGGGACCCCCATTATCCTTCCACTGCTCTGGGGTTCCCTATTATCCCTACATGGAGCCGGGACTCCCTGCCATTATTCCCATTCCAGGCTGGGGTTCCAGGTGATCCCTGTACTGGAGTGGTGCTCCCAGTATTATCCCAATACCAGACTGAGGTTCCTGATTATCCTTTCACTGCTCTGGTGTCCCCTATGACCTGCCTGGGACCCTCCACTAGCCCAATACTGACCTGATGTCTGGTTCCCAGTGCAGGGTGCCCATTCCCTGTGCCAGGATGCCAATGCAAGGTGCCCATTCCCAGTATCAGGATCCCAGTACAAGGTGCCCCATTCCCAATATCTGTTTCCCAGTGGAGGATGCCCGTTCCCAGTACCAGGATCCCAAAGCAAGGTGCCCCATTCCCAGTACCAGGTGCCCAGTGCAGGATGCCCGTTCCCAGTGCCCGGATCCCAGTGCAGGGTACCCATTCCTAGTACCAGGTTCCCAGTACAAGGTGCCCATTCCCAGTACCAGGTTCCCAGTACAAGGTGCCCCATTCCCAACGTCTGTTTCCCAGTGCAGGGTGCCCATTCCCAGTACAAGGTGCCCATTCCCAGTGCCTGGTTCCCAGTGCCAGGTGCCCATTCCCAATATCTGTTTCCCAGTGCAGGGTGCCCATTCCCAGTACCAGGTTCCCAGTACAAGGTGCCCCATTCCCAGTGTCTGGTTCCCAGTACAAGGTGCCCATTCCCAGTATCAGGATCCCAGTACAAGATGCCCCATTCCCAATATCTGTTTCCCAGTGCAGGGTGCCCATTCCCAGTACCAGGTGCCCAGTGCAGGGTGCCCCATTCCCAGTGCTAGATTCCCAGTACCAGGTGCCCATTCCCAATATCTGTTTCCCAGCACAGGATGCCCGTTCCCAGTGCCCGGATCGCAGTGCACCAGGATGTGGTACAGCTCCCCTGCACCACAGACGGGGCGGTTTTATCCCCGTAGGGAGCAGGGCTCGAGCCCCAGGCAGACACGGGAGCCGCGATGCACAGCTGGTACCCAGGACTTTATGCGCCCCACGCAGACACGGACCCCCGGGGGGACACACGGAGCCCCCGACAACGAGCGGGACCCCCGGGCTTCCGTGCCCCCCTTCAGCATCCCAACCCCCGGCGGCTCCAACCGCGGGGACAGCGACACCCCGTCCCCGGGCTGGCGGCCGGCGCGAGGTGCCGGGGGCCGGGCGGATCCCCGGGCTGGTGGCCCCGGGGCTACTGCTTGTCGATGGCGCCCTGCTCGGCCGCGCTGTCGCGGGGCGCGGCCGGCCGCAGCCACGGCGTCTCCCGCAGCACGAACCAGCAGTTCCCGGCCCACAGCAGGAAGTTCAGGAACCCGAAGAGCTGCGGGAGAGGAGAGGGGAGAGCGGAGAGGACAGAGAGGAAGGGAGAGGGTCTCACAGGGCAGCCTTGGGGAGCACACGCCGTGTGCCCCATGAGCTCCAAACACCCCATGAACCCATCGTGTGTGCCCTGTGCACCCCATACACCCTACACTTTCCATACATTCCCTACACTCCATGTACCCTGTGCATCCTGTGTGCCCTGTGCACCCCATACCCACCATAACTCCCGTACAGCCCATGCGCCCCACTGCGCTCCAGGCACCCCACGTGCCCCATGTCTGACCTGTGTCCTGTGCCCCACACACCCCATACTCCCCACCCAGGCACCCCAGGCACCCCATGTGCCCCAATGTGCCCCAATGTGCCGTGCAACCTGTGCACCCACGGACCCTGTATGCCCCATGTGCCTCACGCACCCCACGTACACCACACAACCCACATGCCGATGCACCCCATGCACCCCACTTCCCCCCGTGAGCCCCATGTACCTCAAACGTGCCCTACACCCCTGCACACATCACACACCCCACACACCCCAAACAGCGATGCCAGGGACTGCATCACCACCACCCACGCCATGCTGGCAGTCCCTGGTGGCTGGGTGCCCCATTCCCAGTGCCAGATCCCAGTGCAGGGTGCCCCATTCCCAGTGCCAGGATCCCAGTGCAGGGTGCCCATTCCCAGTGTCTGGTTCCCAGTGCAGGGTGCCCCATTCCCAGTGCCAGATCCCAGTGCAGGGTGCCCATTCCCAGTGTCTGGTTCCCAGTGCAGGGTGCCCATTCCCAGTGTCTGGTTCCCAGTGCAGGGTGCCCCGTTCCCAGTGCCAGTTCCCAGTGCAGGGTGCCCCATTCCCAGTGCCAGTTCCCAGTGCAGGGTGCCCATTCCCAGTGTCTGGTTCCCAGTGCAGGGTGCCCATTCCCAGTGCCAGTTCCCAGTGCAGGGTGCCCCATTCCCAGTGCCAGTTCCCAGTGCAGGGTGCCCATTCCCAGTGCCAGGATCCCAGTGCAGGGTGCCCATTCCCAGTGTCTGGTTCCCAGTACAGGGTGCCCCATTCCCAGTGCCAGGATTCCAGTGGAGGGGGCATGCAGGGCAGATCCCCCATCCCCTGGGACCAAGGCAGGTGGCTGTGGAATGTTTTCACCCACATTTCCACGCTGTGCCCTTATTTTCATCTGTGTGCCCACATTGCCACTGCCCTCTCCTGGCTGAGCTCAGGAATCTGGCACAGGTGTGGCAGAGTGTGTGAGTGTGCACCTGTGTGTGTGCACTGTGACCTGTGGTGTGCTCCACAGCCACATGTGCTGTCCTGTGAACACACGTGTGCACTGCTGTGCCTTCACGTGCCCAGCTGTGCAGCCTGTGGGTTGCAGGTGTGTGCTGCTCAGCTCCGCTTCAATCCTATAAACTGTGCTCCCAATGAAAAAATGACACCTATTTGGCCATGTGTGCCCGTGTGTGTGCCCCCGTGGCCTCACCACCGAGATGTTGGCCAGCCCCATGGCCGGCGTGGTGCCGGCGTTGCAGAGCACCCCGTCGCCCTGGCAGACGGCCATGGCAGCGATGAGGGCGGAGGGGCGCGTGGCTGCCTTCACGTCGCTCAGCCCCTTGCCCCACGCCGCCGCTGCCACCAGCCAGAAGAAGGCAAAGCAGACGGTGACGCAGAAATCCTGCCGGGATGAGAGCCTGGCATCAGCTGGCACCCTGGCACGGCGCTGGGTGAGCCAGCCTCGCCGTCCCGGGGTGAGCCTGCCTTACTGTGAAGGGCAGCTTCGTGTTCTCCGTGTACAGGGAATGGAAGCGGAGGTAGAGCACCAGAGCAGCCATGGCGTAGAGGAAGGAGAAGACCCCCAGGGTCACGAAAAACTCGGCGGGAGCGGAGAAATCACCCACGAGGTACAGGGTGCGGGCTTCTGATTCATCCTCGCAGTTGGGCATCCCAAAAGGAATCTGGTATAACCTGGGACAGAGGGAGGGGTGTCAGGGGCTGGCGGTGGAGAGGATGGTGGGGGTAGGAGGGTTAACCACGCTGGGGTGGTCCCCTGGGAATGGGGATGGTGACAGGGATGGCTAGAACAACCACGCTGGGATGGTCCCCTGGGATGGAGGGCACAGTTCCACTGCCATAACCTGGATTCTTTTCAGGGTCTAGTGCCCTGCCATGGGGCTGGTGGCGGAGGAAAGGAACCGTGACTCTCATCTGGCCCAGCTCCACCATTGCTTTCCCAGATAAATCAGGATTCCCATGGTCTTCCCTGACTACTGAGAATTTCCCTCCTTCCCCACCCTGGTTTTCTGTGATTAACAAGAATCCCCCTGGGTGTTGTCAGGAACTGCCAGGGATGCCAGGGATGTCCCATGGGGTCAGGGTGTGTGTGGTCCCCAGCTGAACACGGCACCTCAGAGACCATGGCTGTGGTGCCATGGAGGTCCTGCCAGCAGGAAGGGAGTCTGACCCCAGCCCAGCACCCCCAGCTTGTGTGGGGCAGCCTGGGGGGTGTGGGGGCTCAGCAGCCCTCACCTGAAGGGGTACCCGAACTGGATGCTGATGGCTGTCATCCCTCCACTCTCACATTTCACTGTGGCTCCGGTCTCGCCGCTGAAGGAGCCGCAGGAGCCAAAGGCGAAGATGGCAAAGAGCTACAGGAGAGGGCAAGGGGTCAGGGGGTGAATATCTGTGGCCCTTTCATCCTTGGGGGGCAGGCTGCATCCCCTGGCACTGAGTAATGGGCCAGCTGCCACTCCCCAGTGCTGGCCTCGGGAGCCTCCCTCCAGCACTGGGATTCTGCTGGCACTGGGATTTGAGGATGGGGGTCACGCCTGGGAGGGTGGGGACACCAAGGCCAAACCCACCCCCATCCCCCCTTAATTTTGGGCAGGGTACTGAGTGCCAGAGTGGGTTTCCAGGCAGCTGGGAGCATCCCCATGGTGGGACCCCCGGAGCTGTCCCCTCCCAGGAGCCAGCAGTGCTCTCGGGTGCCATTGGAGTCACACTGCCCTCATCTCTTGGACGAGGGTGCCGGGAAAGCACCGTTCTCAAAGGGTTTTCCCACTGCTCCTCCTGGCTGAGCTCCTAGCCTCCCGGGGCATCTAAGCCAGGCATGACCCCGCAGGGATGGGCAGCCCACGTGTGGCACTAAGGGTTTAAGCAGGGGTGTCGGTGGATCCTCCAGGGATTCTCTCCTCGTTTTTGTTTCTGGGCTGTCTTTTCATGTCTGATCCCATATGGCGGCCTCAATGGCAGGGGGAGCCCAGAGCCTCCGTGGGTGGGTTCATGCAAACCAAGGAGCTGTAGGACTGGGGGAAAGCCCCTCAAGCTGGCTTCTCCTGGTGGGAGATGCCCAAAGAGGGCTGAGTCCCCCCTGTACCTCAGTTTCCCCCGGGAGCCCCCCAGCCTGGCGAGGCCGAGCTGCAGAAATGCCACCCTGAAACCCAATCTCCCAGGGAGCCATTCATGGCACGGCCAGGACAGGACACAGCCGCGGGCACTCGGCTCCCCCCTGTCCCCAGCGTCCCCCTGCTGGGGCTCACTGCCCCTCAGCCCCTCTGCCCACCCCCCCACCCACCCCCCAGTGCCCCCCGAGCCCGTGGCAGTGGCGGGGGCCTGCACCCCGATGTCACTGTCCCCTTTGGCACGGCAGGGCAGTGCCACCTGCTCAAGGTCACCGGGAGGGGCTGGTGGCCTGAACCGGGGCGTCCGTGTGGCCCTGCTCCCCTCTGCCCCGGAGCCCCCAAAACGAGGCCTCCACCCCGCTGCTGATGGGGTGCAGGAGGCTCTGGAGGGGCAGGGGGGGCTCTGGGGTTCCTCTGTTCTGGGGGGGCTTCGGGAAGGCAACGGAACCCCCAAATGCGGGGGGACTCCGGTCCGTGGGGAGCAGCGCTGGGGAAGGGGCTGGGACGGGGGTCCGGGGTGAGCCCGGGGCAGGGGGGACACGCCGGGGTCACTCACCCATTCCAGCACCTTGATGAAGCCCAGCGGCTCCTGGAGGCGGCCCCAGCGCAGCCCGCGAAGGACACGGTCCTGCGGAGAGAGCGCCGGAAGCACCGGGACGGCACCCGGACGGCACCGGGACGGCACCCGGACGGCACCGGGACGGCACCGGGACAGCCCCGGGGCACTGGGGCGCTACCCCGGGTTGCCACAACGGGATTGCAACGGGGGATCGGGGCCTGCTCCGGGCTGGGGGTTCCCTCTGTGGAGAGGGGTCTGCTCCGGGAAACCGGGGGGGCCGCACCGGCGAACCGGAGGATCCGCACCGGGGGACCGGGGAGCTGCCCCGGGGAAACGGGAAGGCTGCAACGGGATTGTCCCGGGCAGGGGGCTGCCCTGAGCGCCGGGGAACGGCACAGCCACGGCACCAGCACAGCGGAGGGCTGCGCCGCGGCACCGGGGCGCTGCACCGGAGGTGGCACCGGCGGCCGCAACGGGACACTGCGGGCTGCTCCGGAGGGCTGGAACACCACCGACTCCTCCGGGACACCGGGGGGACACCGGGAGCTGCCCCGAGCAACAGTGCCGGGACACCGCGGGGCTGCGCCGGGAGCCTGCCGCGGTCACCGTGAGGGGGACGCACCGGAGCCCTACCTGGAGCCGGGGCGCTTTGTCACCGGCCGCGGGGGCGCCGGGCTCCGACATGGCCGGCCCGGGGGCGGTCGGTGCTGCCTCCGCCGCCCGCTGGGACGGCTCCGCTGGCGGAGCCGCCACCGGGCACCCACCGGGCAGCGCCGCCCCGCCCCCGGCAGCGCTGGGACAGCCCCCCGGCCCTGCCCGCCCCCGGGCAGCGCAGCGCCCCCCGGGGGGCTCCGGCCGTCCCTCGGCTCCTCCGCTGCCCCGGGGGCCGGCAGCGCTGGGAGCAGGCGGGAATTCCGCCGGGAGCCGCTCCCGGGCCGGCAGGGAGGCTGAGGGAGCGTGTGCGGGGCGTCGGGGTGCCGGTGGGGCCGGGGGGCATACAGACCCCCGGTACCTCCTCCCGGTATTGCCCTCCGTGCAGCCCGGCCCGGAGCCCCTTCCACACATCTCCCGTAGCTTCATCCCAGTGCCCCATCCATGGGTATCCCGTCCCCGGTCCCCCTTTCCCGGTCCCCCGTTCCCGGTGCCCGTTCCCGGTGCCCATTCCCGGTGCCCGTTCCCGGTCCCCCTTTCCCGGTGCCCGTTCCCGGTGCCCGTTCCCGGGAGCCCCTCCCGGCACCGCGCCGTGCCCGCCGCAGGCCCCGCCCCCTGCTGCCCTGGCCCCGCCCCTGGCACGCCAGCCACGCCCTCGCTATGGCCACGCCCCCTCCCGGTCTGGTCCCGCCTCCATAGCGCAGACCACGCCCCAAGGGTTACGGCCACGCCCCGTCACATGGCCCCGCCCATCTCTCGTCTCACGCAAACCCGGCCCCGCCCCTCCCCTGCGCGTTGGTCCCGCCCTCCCCGCGCTGCCATTGGCCGGGCCGCAGCGCCGCTGTCCAATGGGCGGGCGGCGCGGGCGGAAGTGGCGCTCGGGGCCGGAAGCGGCGTTGCAGCCCCCGGCGAGGCCGCGGCGCTCCCGGTGCCCCCGGACCCCTCGCCCGCCCCGGCCCCTCCGGAGTCCCCGGGATCCGCCGGCCCCGCCCGGCCCCGCCGCCGCCATGTTCCTCACGCGCTCCGAGTACGACCGGTGAGTGCCCGCCCCGGCGCGGCTGAGTCACGGGCCTGGCCCGGCGCGGCCCGAGCGGCCCCGAGCGGCGGGAGCGCACCGGGAGCGCACCGGGCGCGCCCGGCCCCGCCGCGGCACCGGGGGCTGCCGGATGGACGCACCGAGGGCGGGAGCAGCTCGGGATGTGCGGGGAGAGGAGCGTGCCCGGACGGGAGCGGAGCACCGGGAGCGGCTCAGCCGGGGAAAGGAGGCTCGGGGGGACGGACCCTGGGGCTCTGCACAGCTCCCGACAGCCGGGGCGGCGGGCTGTGCTCCGGGGAACGGGGACAGGAGCGGAGGGAGCGGCCCCAGGCTGAGCGCGGGTGTTTGGTTTGGGTGTTTTGGGTTTTGGTTTGGTGCTGGGGAGGTTTTTCACGGCCCCGACACACGCAGGGCTGGAAGGGCTCAGCCGCGGGGAGGGGGCACCTGGGGCCAGCGCCGGGGGAGCCTTGGCAGGGCTGGGCCCCAGGATCCCAAAGCACTTCTCCGGTCCCGAGCGTTCCGGGGGGAAGCAGGCCCTGCCCGGCTCCCCTGGGGCTCCAAAGGGGCCTCTCAGCCCTGCCGGCTCTCCTGGAGCTCTGTCCTGGAGCCTCCCGGGTCCCCCCGGGGTCCCCCCTGCCCCTCTCACTGTGTGTGCTCTCCTTGCAGGGGTGTGAACACCTTCTCTCCAGAGGGGAGGCTCTTCCAGGTGGAATATGCCATCGAGGCCATAAAGGTACTTTTAAAAGTGTCCAAACTGTGACATCTGGGGCTCCTGCCAGGCAGGGATTGCTCAGGGCTTGTTGGAGCCCTGGAGGCTGAGGGTTTTAAACTTT